TGATTTATGAACAGACACATTTATGAATATTTATGGAAATTGAAATTTTTATGAACGCAAAAGACGAAAGAGATGTAATGTAATTTTAAAATTTTCCATAAACACATAAAAATCCGGGATCAATTATGTGATATCTATTAAAAAATAATTTTCTTTAATCAAAGTCTTTCATTAATTTTTATCAGTCGATATCGAGTGATCGATAGATTGATTTCAATTTTATATGGAAAAAACAAAATTAAAGATATAATTAATCACTTTCACGATCAATTGTTCTTCAAGAAAAAAGCCTGTTGCGTGCCGATCTGACCTCGACGTATAAGAGCGTTGAGCAGATCGGTGGCTTGCTGTCTTTCAACGTTAATGAAAGTCAGCTGGTTCAAGGAAGAATTGTTTTAGGGATTGGTTGGATTGGTAGGATTGAGGAATGTAGATTGTCGTAAGAGAGAGCTTGAATTCGAAAAATGATAAGATTTGAGTGAGTTTGATAGTCGAACCGTAAACTGTCATACGTCGATGGGTTGCTCCGGAACTTCTGTCCGCGCTGCGCGATTGCCAAAAACATTGTCTATTTTCCTTGTGCGTTGATCTTATACAGCTGTGCATTCAATGGTTACGGGATTAGGGAGGTATGCTAGTTATGTCCAGATGTGAGCGAGGTCTGTCCCAGAAAGTAGTATTTGCACTTTCTAATTATCCCAGGATGTGTCTCTCGCAATATATTTTAGATTTATAGATGTAGAAAAGTTGCAATAAAGACATTTACCGAGCTTTGGAACTAGTAGTCCGGTATGGCTACAATAGAAGATGCAAGGTAACGAAGGACATGAAATGTGGTCACGGGAGATCCCTGCCGTCGAGAAATTAGAAATCAAAAAAATTGCTTTCCCTGGCTCGATGAGTTTGTCCTTCGCGGTGCGAACCCCACCTCCATTGTGTTCAGTAAGGCCGAACAGAGCCTGATTGACTAATTAATAACTAAGTGACTCAGATTGATCGACTGATTCTTGATTACTCTAAACCATGACTGTGAATGACTACGAATAACTGACAACAGACTATTCTGAATCTTGGTGAATGAGACTGCCCTACTTAGAGTCTTCTTCACCTCTTTCACATGCACAAGATAAAGTAGACAGCTTGTGGCAGAGTCTATCTAGTTTAGCCTTAAGGATATTAAACTACACGCGGCCTTGGTCTCTAAATTCTTACAGATTTAGTATTACAAGCGAGTATTGTTGAGCAATCAGTTCACAACTGGAGCAAAGGAAAGTTTCGCTGTTTTATACATGTATAGCGGTGGAACCGGCTGTACATACACAGAACATACACAGAACATGCTTGCCTCTGCCAATATAACCAATACGATTCATTAATCACTCGGTTTGGTAAACACAGTACAGCCGTCGTGATTCCAATTTTATCTAAATTACGATTTTCCCTAATTTGCACGATCCAGATTGAGCATGTATATTTGTGTATGTACGTATTTCTCAACGCGATTGGCAAGTGAAATTTATAGTGTTCTGGCTGTCGAATATTCAGTTTAGTCTAGATAGTATAGAAAGAGAAATATTTTTTTTATTTTGTAGTATTATTTGTTTAGTTATTTAGTTAATTAAATATGTAGGTGTTTAGCTATTTGAATAGCTAAATATTTTTAGTCGTTTAGTTATTTAATATTTTAAAATAGGTATTTGCTTATTTAAATTATATTAAAATATAATAAATGATATTTAAATAATTAATAGATAGATTAAATTATCTCAGCGACCCGGTACAGACAGTTTTTAAATATTTATCCGATATAATTTGACTAATTCTTACGTATTTCACGAATGGAATGTTACAATGAAAAAAGACACACGAGAAATTTAGTATTTCAAATAACCAAACAGACAGTATCACGAGACGAAAACGACATTACTCTCTTAATCACTTTGAAACACCAATCACAGATAATCACCAATGGCAATGAAAGTCATAAAAAGACCAGAGATCTTTCTGTGTCTCGAGATTCGTACACACATCGTACAAACTCGTCAAACTCCTGATAACTAATCTAACAAATCTCGCGAACTCCACAGAGTACATCATCTGTTCACCCAAGACCACCACCACCAAGCAACGTATCCGTTTTGAAATAATGAAAGCCTACCGTTCATGGTGCTTGTCCTCAGCTCGGAAGAGCCTCGTTTGAAATCAGTGTTCCCCATTAATTTTCGACGATGCTGGTGACGGTGCTTGTTGGACAGGTGGTCATGTAGAAGTAACAGATCACCGCGGGTTTACCGGGCGTCACGTGTCATTGCAACGTGGATCTTTCTCTTTTTTTTTCTTGTTCTTCCGAAAGAGAGAAAGAGAGAGAGAGAGAAGAGAGAAAGAGAAAGAAAGAAAGAATATCAGCAACGAGGCAACGTCATTTTTGGTAGCACGCGCAGTTGCGCCGTCGAGAGAAACGCTACGCGATCGCGCAGAAAATAAGCAGGAACGCGCAACGGAGCGCCGAGCAACACTGTCGTCGCCGAGTTCTTCGGCCCGTTACCGAGCCATACGTAATCGCTTTCGTGTACCGGCGGTTCGCGCGAATAGTCGTCGCCGATTGGCCGCGGCTGTTCCTTATCAGTGGCCGATTTCTTTTTTTCTTTTTTTTACTGGGACCGATACGCGACACTGAGTTCGATCGCTCTTGTCTCTGTCGATTTGCCGATTTTCGACGAAATCCGACTTTTTTTTTTTATCTAATCGACTCCTTCGGATAAAGCGAATATTAGGAGTTATAATTCGCGTTGTCAGAAATTTGTTGCTTACTGTTTCATTTGGTGAACACGTTGACTGACCATTGGCGAAATTTATACGTTTTATCTATCTAGCAAGAGTATTATATATATTTATTATGTCGTTGTAATGAATATTATTAATAATAAGAATGTTATTGTTACAAAATATTAGATCGTGCCACGTGTATTTCGGCTTTCGTATGTACTAGTTAAAAATAACGAACAACCTGTTAGGAATCGATGATTAATTTTCTCGTATTCTTATGCAATAAAAGCATATTTGCTATTGTTATTATCATATTGGTTCTACATTATCTATACGCACATTGTCTATCCTATCAGTATTATCTATTTAGTCATTTGGTTATTTAGCTATTTGGCTACTTTACTCTTTTTAATATCATTTAATATTTGATATTACTCATTCGTTGCAGAAAGACGAATTTTATAAATATTGGCAGCGATGCGAAATAGTGTGATTCTTGGCATTTGTTTTTTTTTTTTTAACGTACGAGATCTTTGTATTCACGGATTCAATATCTTCGCGATTTCTCTTATCCCGTGATCGATCGCGAGCCACAAACTTGTATGTACTTTCACAAATTTATTTATTATAGAGAGATAGCGTGAATAGTCGTGAATTTCAAAATAAACGTTCATAACTATCACTTTTTTTTTTCCTCGTTTCAATTCATGGAATTGATTGGCATACTTTCTTGCTCAGATTCACACGCATATGTGAAAGGTATAAGTAGTATAGACATCTTCAAGTAGTGTTGGATTATTAAATTTCAATGGATCATTTGATTTTACTTTTCATTGTATATTCCCCGATGGTAGACATCAATCGAACAAAATTCAATGAAACAGAAATAAAAAAAAACTACGTAATTTAATTTTAAACTATTACGTTTCTCAATATGAGTCTACGATGACAACGATAAGAATTAATTTCTTATACTCTCCGTTCTTCATATGTACTTGACTTCAGTTAATTTTTATCCAGTAAATTTTGTTCTGTGTAAATACTTTGTCCAATACTTTTTCTCATTGAATAAATGAATAAATCAAATTCACTCTGCTGTCAGACGGAATTACCGTGAGATTAATCTTGCGCAATTGATGACTATTGGGTAGTTTCAAACTCATCGATGAGGTTCAGAAGAGAAGTTCCAGGCCATTAGCTAATTTCATTTGTAACAAAGTCTTACTTGTTCTAAAGTGTAACAAAGTTACAGTAATTTCCCTCCAAAGTCGGCACTTTGTCTCTGACAATTCGGAGCATATTGGAGGATGACAAAAGCGCTTATTTTGCGAATTTCTTGATAAAAATTACGTTGCAAGCAATTGCAAGAAACACGTGTAAAGAAAGTGAACGGATCTCCTTCACTCGCGAAAAAAACCGATGAATGGTTTCGTTTTTGTCCGAGGAGAAAGTTGTGAAATAGACGAGACTAGTTGCTCGTGCCATCGTACTTCTTTTTAGACTTCGAGTAGCATATTATATTTGTTTATTGTATACTATATTACCATTCTATAATATTTGTCATAAAATTATGTTACACTTGCAGTATTGTATACTATATTACCATTCTATAATATTTGTCATTAAATTATGTTACACGTAGTGCAATGTAATAATTAAAAAATGATGAATATATGATCTTATTAGTTAGATGTTGTTCGAAATAATCTTTACTTTATTCGAGCATGAGAATGACTCTTCTCTGGATTATCTCATTGTTCGACCAATAAACGAAATAATTATTCATTTCAATTTTCATCTTGTATCTCAACAAATCTTCGTTCAAATAATTTCTCAATCGCATCACGGACATAAATTTTAGATTTGAATAATTTGGCAATTGATTCATTTAAATCTCTCTCTCTCTCTGGAGTAACAGTAATAAATTGCTCGAAACAATTCGTTATTTCAAACAGTTGTTTTTCATTTCGTTCCAAATAAAGCCGGTATCTCCTCCAGTTTCATTTTTATTGATTCCGAGCGAGGTCTCAATCGCTTTTATTTGCATTCCTTGCACGTTCCTCGGTGCGATTTGCCAAGTAGACGTCTGGCCGACTTTCCTTTCTCCCGTCTGTTCGTTTCCTTTTCGTTCGTGATTGTTTTCCTTTCCTCAGGAATTCTATTTGTCGGTAATTCTTCGAAAAGTGGAAGACCGACTGACCGTTGGGAAAATAATCGGGGATACGCCAGGGGAATGTTGTACGGATTCCGTTTATTCTCTGCGAGACAATGGATACAATGTATACGTCAACAAGATAGAGCAACGTCTTTAAACGTTTATAGTGGTTGCCAAGTGTGCTAACTATCAACTAGAAAATTCTGAACGAACGTACACTTCCGCTCGAAAGTCCTACGACATCTTTTCCAATGTTTTATTACTATTATAATGTATGTAACATATTATAATATTATACACAGTGGCTCACGAAAATATTCCAACGCCCATCATAGCAACATTTTCATGTATTACGCGTATGAAACGTTTTGAAATTTCATTAACAGTACAGCGAGATATTGTTATGATAATGTATATGTATTTATATTGCAAATGTAACACGTATTTTGTAAAAAATCATTATAGTCATCTGAAGCATATAATAAGTATCAATGATGACTATTAAATATAACTTGATCCAAGATGATTATTGAGGAATATTGATATAATGGATTATGACTGTTTAAATACTTATGTGATTGATTTTCACATATGTGTGTGTGTTATGATTAAGAAATATTAAATGTCTTGTAATTTTTATATATTAAATATAGAAACTTGATTAATATGATTATGATGATAAGGATTATCAGAGTTAAACCTCAGAACAAGGTCAATGAAATTTCAAAATGTTTTACACGACACACATACTATATGCATAAAATATTCTTACAAGTATTTGAATACTTTCATGAACTATATGTTATATTATATATATAAATAATATTATAATATGATACCAACATTACATCATTTTAAACATCATGTATTATATTTAATATTTTTTATTATTCAGTGTTTATCGTAGACGATAAAATTTTTAAATTGCAAGTGAATTATATAATACGATCAACAATTTACAGACGTTGTTGTTGTTCAATTTTTCCAGTTTTCAAATAAATGCAGTATTTGTCCTAAGACTTTTGAGCATATTCCTCGAGTATATACCTTCGTTAGACGCGCGAGTATATTAAATAGTTAATTAATATAATAATAATTAAATATATATTAGAATTTCTCTCTTTTCTTTTTCGTTCTTTCCGTATCGTCGACTTTTACTCAACAACATTCCCTAAATATGATTTCTCGATTTCTCACATCGAATCATCCAAGTTTCTTTGCTTCTCAAGACTAATACTTCAAGAAATATCCATACTTTGCTTATTAAAAAGTACATATAGAAGTAAAGGCAACAAATTTTTTCTATTTACAAATACAAAAGCATTTGCACACACCTTCATTTTTCAATAAAGCTTTTTCGTTTTAATCAGATTCTACGTTTCGTAATATTTCATAGTATTAAATTTACATAAAGATTATTCAAAGAATCACCGTGTTTTTGGTCCCTTGATTTTGAAACTGAATAATTCATCAATCACGAGACACATTAATTACAGAAAATTTCGAAGTTGAACTGACAATTAGCTTCTGAATTTTTAATTTTGAAATTTATTGTTAGTGAAATCTCTGGGAACAATTTGTCTGTGTTTCTATATCTTTTAAATATGACAAATGAAATAAAAAATTTAAAAAGAAAACGAATGCAGTATTATAAAAGTAGAGGCTTCATGCTTTGAAATGAGCTCAAGTAGATTGTTATATAATTTTTTCTCATGAAGCTTTAATCTACTCTTTATGTTACAAATATATAAATATACAGATTCCTTAAAATTTATTGTACAATTTTTTTCATAAAATTATAAGAAATTTACTTTTCGTAAATTTGATCTTTTGTATTTTATATAAAATTGAGGAACCAAAAACAGACGGAAGGATGCTTCATTTTTCAATCATTCTTTAATATAGAATTATAAATAATTTGAACCTTTGAGACACTTTGAGACATAATATTTTAAGATAAAAAATGACTCTATCTGCACAGAATTTTTCTTTTTTATAAAATGTGGTAGGATAATTTTATTCTAACAATCTGAAGTACAAAATTTCACAATTTAAAGGTAGTACGAACAACGTTTCATCATACACGTTCAAATACTAAAAAAAAATGGGATATTTTTCACATCAGCATGCTCCAAATAGTTGAATACCATATAAACGCTACAATAGTCAAGTACAATAGTGTGCAAATACTTTTCGTGTCCACTGAATATCGCATTGTTAGACATTCTGGGTCTTATTTTCTATAATAATAAATCAAACCGAACGAATTTTACTACGAGACTCTGGACTAGGTCACGAAAGAATCTTAACAAACATGGGAAAAAAGAAATGATCTCATCCGCCGAATGCCAACTTTACTCGAAATTCTATCAGCCACGCGTTTTTTTTTTTTTTTTTTTTTCTCCATCCGCCATCGTTCAGAAATCCTTCTTCTTATCTTTATCCCCCAACACGTTGTCGTGGTAGCTGATCTCCTGTCCAGGAACAGCTGGGTGAAGATAAGGTGGCTCGACAACGATCTTCTCCTTCACGTCAGGATCTAAAACCATCGAGTGATGCGGTCCTCGATGAAGCACAGTCTGATGCTGTTGCTGTTGCTGCTGCTGTTTCCCACTCGATTGATGCTGATGTTGATGCACGTGCCGATGGGTGTGCTGCTTCTCCTCCTCTTGCCCGTACTTGTCCAACAACTCTCGCAGTTTGTCGAAATCGATGTCCTCGTCGAACTTGGAGAACAGCTCTTTAGTACCAGACTGCTCCAACTTCTCGGAGTCCTTCAGTTGTTTGAAGAGTTGCATGAATCTCTCGTTAGCCTGGACACCGTCCTTGCTGGTGTTCTTGGAGGAGTTCAAGTTGGGATTCTCCAGGAGATCCGGCGTCTCGCGAGGGACGTTGACGTTCTTGTCCAAATTCTCTTGGGTTAATGACTGAAGGAGAGTGTTGTAGTCCGGTTTGATCCTGGATGTTTCCATGCAGGAGCTGCAGGAACAGTTGGTGATGATCTGGACTTTCTTCTGCATCGTGATTGGGTTGTTCGTTTCATCTTTGCAGTCCAGCGTCACCTACAAGGTTACATGGATTCGTTAATATATGGTTTCTAGTGTTCTGTGTACTCTATCTGTATGTTGCATGTTCATAAGTATTTAGACAGTTAGAATATTCCAAGTAAACAACTAATATTACATCGACTTTGGAGATGTGGGAGAGTACCATTCACAACTGGGCCCAACACTTTAAACTTTCTTTAACACATTCTGTGAATTTTTTAATTTCCTTAACATAAATAGACATAATCGATCCACTGATTCGTTAATTGCTAAAAAATGAAATACTTATGCTATTCTTGAGGTTTAATAACAAGTCCCAGGGTAAATGCAAAGAACCTTAACCCCAATAGTCGACCAACGTGATTTCTCAACGATTTACCTAATTTATTCACCTACCGTGTGCCAGATGCTGTCCAAAGGTTGACAAGAGTCGCAATAAGGTCTGATCAGGTCACCGGGTGCAGAAGGTTCGCTGTGCGGTACCATGTAAGAGAAACAAGCTCCCACGCAGACGTTGTTATCCAGCTCTTGCGAGGAACACTGCGGCCACGTGACCACTTGCTTTATCGGGGTCGTTTTGCACCAGCTGTGCTTGTCGGGATACAGCACGATGTTGTGCACCTTAAATAATCAATAATCGATGATTACTCGACGAACGAGGCGAGAAGGGAACGGGTTGATCGCGGGAAAATCGATAAACCTTGTGCTCGCGATGGGCGTGTAGCGTGGCCGTCTGAAGAAACAGCGCGATCACCATTGTCAGATGACACGTTGGACCCATGATCCCTGAAACAACAGAGGGAGAGAGAGGGTATCCGAATTTTTTCGATAAAATGGCTGTGAATGAAATGCCAATATCTATATGGTGAATAAACGATACACACGTATATAATTGCAGATGACATTAACATAAAAGCATAATACATATAACACGTATGTATATTATCACATTTATGAGATCATCACGGTGCAGATTATTAAAAAAAACAATATGTTTTTTTTACATCTCATCCTTGTGTCACTTTCTTGACCCACTTTCCTGAGATAATCTCATACTGTACAGGTATCATTTTAATATATAACATATGATGTATGTTTTCGATATTTTTGATAGAAAAATATGCCACTAGAGTGTTGCAAATAATACAGGCAACACATTGCCTCCTAATTATTTCTGTTTTATTATCTTTTCGATAAGTTTTATTATCTCCCTACGCTTATGAGTCCCGAGCTGGTAAACATTATTCAAAAGAAATACAGACTAGATTTGCTCATGATTCAGAGCGTACGAATGTTTCTTGCGCTAACAGAGAAATTAAAAATCAGGTACTCTCTCAAATATAGCTGATCTGACGCAAAATTCAATCAACTTCTTCCCAAATTTCTTTTTTCCATGCTAGGTCATTTAAAAATGTCATATTTGAAATATGAGTGGAGCTCCAAATGCTTCGATTAAACCTAGTCGTTATCAATATCTGATTGTCAACAGCTGATCGACACCGAGTAACAGGTTTGAATTATCGGTGAAGCTTCTAACACATACATACACACACATACGGAACAACCGGAAACTTTCTCCCGTACTGGTTTCGTCGCGTCGATAAACTACGAACAACCTAACCCTAAGGGGACGAGGGAATTTCGCGATTACGATTCTCACGAGTTGCAGCGTGCAAACGTGCGCACGTGTCCCCACCCTGAATGAATGAAAGTCTACGAGTCTCCTTCTTTCTTTCACTCCAGTGGTGCGGCACTCCCGAGGTCTCAGGTTCGACGACCGTCTGAAATTACGTCACCGGGATTTGTCGTGGTGCCGCTGCCCTTTCCCTACTTCTTCCTTTTTCCCCGGCATCGAGCGTCGCGTGAATTTTGTTTAAAACAAGCTACACGCGGGGCGCCTTGCACACATGTATATACATATATACGACGAGCATCGTAAACTCGAGGGCAGGGCTGGAGAAAATTTGAAATAATTTGGTACAAAATAGTAAACACTGAAATATTTGCATGAAGAAGTACGAGTAGTATGCGTCCAAGGTGTGATGAAAATATAAACGAGATTCGTGTATACGTATATAGAAGATATAAACGAGAGTCGAAGAGAACCACCGATCAGATTTATTCCTTTTTCTCGCCGAGGAACACTGAGGGCTGTTCGTTCGAGAGAAAAAAGCGAACTCGAGAGCGAGCTCATTCACGAATCGTTAACGCAATTGGTGATTGGTAGACTTTGGAAAGGATTTTCTCACTTGCTGAAAGATTAATTAATGATCGACCCATTGACGTTCCGTAATTTTTGTAACTAACTATTGTAGACTCTGACTTGTAGCTCTAACAGTTTTGTACATTGTATAAAACAGATTCACCTAAAAAAACGTAAAAATTGCCGGAGCACAACCTTTTCAAATGAGGGACATCGTCTTAAGATCGATTCCTTGATTACCAGACGAGATCAAGGTGCTCGAGTTTTAAGTCACCTAGATGTTGAAGATAACGAAATTCCCCTGACAGAATCCAAGGGAAAACGACTTTTTCGTGGATGTGCCGACCATAAATAGTGGTGGATTTAGGCTACAGGACTTGAATACGAGATACTCTTCTTCCCCCCGCGGTTGAAATGAAACATTTTTTTAAAGATTTGGGAAGAAAGGAGTGATGTAAAATTTTCTACCGTGAGAAAGAAAAAGGAAAAAAGTTATTTTGGGAGGTCGCTTAAAGAAACATAACACATAACCATCTTATAAAAAAATATCGTATATCAATGGATATACGTACATATATCAGAGAAGTGATCTTTAAATTTCGATAGAAAAATTAAAAACAGTAATTTAAATTAGCTATTATACGTAGGTATTTACGTACATATGTAGTTCTTCTTAGTCATTGAATTGGGACCACTTTGACAACATTATACATTTTACATTATTATACAAGTATTATACATTTTTGTAAATTTTATAGATATGAGACAATATATTTTTATATTATAAATAATTTCATATAAGTAGGAACTTATATAAGTAGTAGATAGTAATTAGATAAATATGTAAGTAGAAACTTGTGCAATTTATTTTATTGCAGAGCTTCTCTATTTTTTTACTTCAACGTCTCTGACGAAAATTTTGTGCTTCAGTTCTGGCGTTAATAATTAATCAGATTTATTATTACACGTGTCATAATATTAAATGCAAATAAATAGTAGTAACCATACTACTAACGATATAAATACGCAAGGTGTTGAAAATGGTCCTTATTTAATCGACCATATACATATGTATGATGATCGACAGTCCTGATCGAACAATTGGGCAAACACGCTAGAAATAAAGTCATAAGAGAAAGAAATAAAGGAGCCGACGTACCATTTTTACCGAAGCAATCAACCGAGCAAAGGAAGTCTTAATTACTGTAACCAGTTGAGCTCACGCGCGCGATTTCGTCTTGATTCTCACGAAGCAATCGATAATGAAGCAATAATTCCGCAGCTACGGTGACGAAAGAGACGAAGGACCATTACCCTGTATATAGGCATATATAGACTGGCTGAATCGACGGCGACCAGGGGGAGGGGAAAAAAGCGTCAATCTCATCGTACGATCTTTCTTGATCTTTCGGAGATGAACCAGCGAGGGACAAGTGGCACGAACGACAAGGTAAAGGGATGTGCAGGCCCAATTACGAGCGATCGGCCCCTTTTTTGGCCTCTCGAGAAATCCCCGGATCCGTTTCACCGCGCCCGTGCATCCTTCGTCGTTCAGGAATTTACTTTGTCGTTTGGACTTGCGAGTTGAATTCCTGACAACAGAAAGAATCTCGTCCCTCTACGAACAATTGGTCGCCCGGCATTTCCAAGAGAGGATCAACTTTTCGTTCCCCTCCGATGCGTTTCAATCTCCCGATCTCCCGATCTTTTCTTACTATTCCCTCCTTATCCGCCAAGTTTCGTTCCACCGACCTCCTCTCCGCGTCAAGCCGTTTCTTTCTGCTCGCGTACAGTTGCTCACGAAAGTATCCGAACGTTCCTGGGCAAGTTTTTATCAGGTGCGAAGTCACGTTTGGTCAAGTTTGAAGTAAATCTAGCAATATTGTATTTACATTATTTAAATAAATATGCATAGATGTGTATGTTTTTAGATTTGTTTCAAACTTGATCAATGTTATCACAACGCTCGTGTGTTATATATATTACATATATAATGTATGTTATAAGTATATTATAACGTGTGTTATGTTATATTTATAGACAAATATTCGATTGTGTAACATATACTGTATGTATAATAAATATTCATATGTATAATTAAATGTACATATACACATTTGACTATAATATAACAATATATGTTATATTATATATAATACGCATGTAATATATATAATTATGTGTATTTATACAATGTGCGTTACATGTATATACAATGTATACAATATATTTCTTACGTATTTATATAAATGTAGAAATTTTTCTATAATAACCATCGGAATACTTTGGTGAGTTACTATTTCTTATTATATATAATATATTGGAAGATTCACGCGGTAACATCACAGTGTTTTGGGGTTCAATTTATCAAACCGGATTGAAACAGGCGAGAATAAAATTTGAAAGGTTATCGGCGGTCCTGTTGCAACCGTGACGCCCGGCCGCAAATTAGCTTAAAGATATGATAGTCGAGAAATTAGATCTCTCAGCTGATTCTTGTTGAATCACCCTATAACGTGGCCACGAGGTGGAGGTGTGCGACTACAAGGTTCGGCCGCCCATCTCATTTCCACGAGCGGTGATTTGAATGACCGAGTAGGATACAAACAGGGATGTACTTAATCCGGATGAGTCTGACGACTTACAACGAGCACCACTTCATTCTTACTTCTTCCCTGTACAAACGATCGTTGACTTTGACATCACGCTTGTGTATCTTGACACTTACGTCAGAGTGAATACATTTAGCGTCTAACCGGCGAATAATCGGTATTTATTTGCTTCCTGATTTGTTACCTAAGTTGTTACCTTTCGATGAAATTACTTTAAAAGGATTGTTTCATGTGTTTTGTAATAATTTCTTCGAATAATAAAATTCAAATCTTGAAACGATTTTGAAATAATTTAGAAACGAATTATTAATAGAATAATATTATCAATTAATTAGAATAGACGTTAGGATAATTTTCTTTCAATTATTTTATCTGTAATTGGGATTGTGATGTAATTTAGGATTGAAAATTATTTATCTTTGGAATTTATAATTTATCACGTATACAACTCACGTAACCTAACGATACTACTTCGGAGTTAGTTTTATTGCTAATCTCTGTCATTAGAATTTAAAATACGAAAAAAATTAAATATTCAAAACTTTACTAATTTATTGTAAATTACTACTAATTTGCAACTTAAATCGATAGAACTCAAGACAAGACAAATTAATCCTCTATAACCAGAATTTCTTTACTGAAAAAGAGAACAAGAAAATCATTAGGTAATTGTCGAGAGACAATTATTTGTCAATTATTTATTTCGATTTAAAATTTGGGTATTAATAATCGTTCCAAATAAACCAAAAATTGTCCAAAAAAACTAGCATAATGATACATCTACAAGACACAATAATGAACCATTAAGCAGACAAAATAAAATTTCATTATGTACATTACGCAACATTAAGATTAATCTTCTGAGTGCTCACTAAAATTACTAGAAGTAAATATTAACAAGTTAACAAGTTGAGAATACATTCATACGTATATTCGAATATACATCTTCCGATATATTTATTCAATATATT